GTGGGGTGGGGTGGGGGAGCGGGTGGGGAGGGCTCCGGGGGTGCCCAGGGCATTACCCGCTGCCCACAGAGCGGCAGGGGCTCACCGCGTTCATGTCAATGCCGTTGGTGTAGGACCAGGCGTGCTGGAAGTAATCTTCGAGGCGCTGCCGCAGCGGGTTGGGGATCTGGTGGAAGCGGATGAACTCCTTGACGCGCAGCATCTGCGTGTGGTAGCGCGCGGTGCCCGAGTACAGGCGCTGGATGATGGCCGACACGTTGCCGAAGATGCTGGCGTACATGAGGGCTGGGGCGGGGCCGGGCGGTGAGCCCCACGGCATCCCTACCAGGCCGCACCGCCCCAAGGCCTGCTCCAGGCCTCCTTCTCCCTGGGAGCCTCTTGGTGAGGGACCTCTCTGTCCAGGGAGAAGCCAGAAGTGCCCAGGACAGTGGCAGGGCACATACGGGACAAAGCCCCCTGGGTTTCCTGCCTTCCTCCCTCTGCCCTGTGCCTCTTGGCATTTTCCTGGGCCCAGAGGCCAAACTCCTGCAAACAAAAAACTAGGCCAATGGGTTTTTTTTTTTAGTTCGGGTTTGTTTTCAAGTTGTAAAAATACAGTTAGGGGAATATTCTTGGTCTCTTGTTTTCACCCATTTATTTCTTGTTGTTTTTGTGTTTCTGGGCTTTCACATCTCTAAATACTCAGAACTTGAGAATTTAACCTACGTGTTAAATTCCGCACTGCCTCTTGTGTTCCTAAACCAGGTGTCTTGGGAGGCAGGAAGCTCAGTGCAGGGACTGAGAGCAACACAGCCTGGGAGGAGCTGGCCACCTGGACTGGGATTGGGATTGGGGACTTCCTAGCTGTGTGCCCTCTGGCAAGTTAGGACCTTTGGTTCCTGCTCTGTAAATTGGGCTCATAAGGGAATGAAATGTGGGCTTCTGTGAAGCTTAAAGCAATGCTTGGCAGGGCCGGCCTCATGGGCATGCAGCCTGCACAGTCCACGTGGCCTGTGTCAAGAACATTTGCTTTAATGCTCTGCTATCACTGTCTTGAAATTCTTAATAATTTTTTAACGAGGGGCTCTACATTTTCATTATGCACTGGGCCCAGCAAACGAGGTAGCCGGTCCTGGTGCCTGGCTTATAGTGAGAGCTGTGTGGGAGTTATATTCTGTGTATAACTGATGTACACATATGCAAAAATCCTTTGTGCTGCATACTTCAGATCAGCATACCGCATGCAATGGGACTGTATGTTATGCTGTATCTCATTACAAAACTCAAAATAGAATTGCATGGGTAAGACCCCTGGCATGACCTCGCACTCACAGCCAATGAGCATGACGCAGATAGAGAAGACCTTCTCAGAGTTGGTGTTGGGTGAGACGTTGCCGAAGCCCACGCTGGTGAGGCTGCTGAAGGTGAAGTAGAGGGCCGTGACATACTTGTCCTGCACCGAGGGGCCTGAGGCTGGGTCACTACCATTGTAGCGCTTGCCGAGCTGCACGCCCAGGCTGTCCAGCCAGCCGATCTTGGGTTCCAGGTAGGGCCGCTCCACATTGCCGATGGCGTACCAGATGCAGGCCAGCCAGTGTGCAATGAGCGCAAAGGTGCACATGAGCAGGAAGAGCACAGCCGCCCCATACTCAGAGTAGCGGTCCAGCTTCCGTGCTACACGCACCAGCCGCAGCAGCCGTGCTGTCTTCAGCAGCCCAATCAGGGTTGTGGTCTAGAGGGGCAGGGAAAGGACACTAGGAGGTCGGCCCTTGAAAGGGTGCACTCAGGCCTGCATTTGTTCACTTGTGCATACAATCACACAGTCATCAACAAACATGGAGAACCTGCTCTGGGCCAGGCACTTGGCAGGGGAGCATAGTGTGGGCCCTCAAGGAGCTCTCAGCCTAAAACTCAAAACGGTGTTCTTGTTGCTAGGACAAAAGTCCAGCGGGAGCACAGAGGAAGGGGAGGTCAAGTCTGAGCATAGTGTGGGCCCTCAAGGAGCTCTCAGCCTAAAACTCAAAATGGTGTTCTTGTTGCTAGGACAAAAGTCCAGCGGGAGCACAGAGGAAGGGGAGGTCAAGTCTGCAGGGGCAGGTCAGGGGAGACTTCATAGAGGAGGTGACACATGAGCTGAGTCTTGAGAGACCAGGCAAGGTCTCTAGGCAGACAGGAGGGAGAGGGAAAGGGCATCCCTGGCACAGGGAGCAGCACGAGCAGGGGCATGGAGGTGTGAAGTGGCACAGCCCACATGGGAAACTAAGCGTGGCACCGCAGCCTGGAGCACAGAGTGGGAGATGGCAGAGCAGTGAGAAAGGAGCCCGGGAAGGTGGATGGGGGCTGCTCTGTGGGCCTCAGGGTCTGTAAATGGCTTGGCTCTTATTCCGTAGGCCTTGGGGAACCATTGCAGGTTCTGAGGGGGCAGTAACAGGGTCAGGGAAATGATCTGAAACCACTCTGATTGCTGTGTGGAGGGAGGTAGGCTAGCAGGTGTGGGGCTGGGGCAGAAGTGAGTAAGAAAGTCACTCAGTGTCCAAGCAGGGGTAGGGGGATGGAGAGGAGGGCAGACAACTCAGGATGGATTTGCTGGGGGTGGGAGCAAGGGGGCTTGGGAGTCCCCTCTGGACAGGCTAGGCTGATTGGGGGTGTGATTGGGACCCAGAAGGCAGAGTTGATTTGAGTGGAAAGCTGACCCTGAGAAGATGGGGCAGGAGGACAAGCTGGGGCTAGAAGCTATGAGAAGAGCTTGAAAATGCTCTCACATCACCTATGAGAAGCAGAGTGGGCATAGTAAAGAGGCTGGGGAGCAGGAAGGGGGTCAGGACACATTGGGGCAACAGTCTGTTGATTCCCTTTCTAAGTCCAGGGTGAGTGTGGTTTAGAAGTCCCCCTGAGGGGCTGGGACTACAGGATCCTTTCCCAGAAGGGGCAGAATTCTGCTGACAGCCTGTTCTTCTCACCAGGGCCTGCTCAGAGAGATGGGGCAGAGGGATGGCACCCAGGCTGGGGTCATAGCCTCAGCTGGTCCTTCTCCAGAGCTGGGAGATGACAGATGTCTGAGTCCCCCTTCCCACCTCCACCTGCTTTGGCAAATGTGCCCAATCCTAGGTACTCTCTGCACCCAGGGCTGTGAGGCAGGGAGGCCTCGGGGCTAGGGTACAGGGGACAGCCATGGCTCCTGGCCTGGGTGGGGTTTGCTCACCTCATCAGAGCCAGTGCGGAAGATGAGCAGGTCGAAGGGGATGGCAGCCACCATGTCAATGAGGAACCAGCCCTTGAAGTAGTGGACAGCGATGCGGCGGGGGTGGCTGACCACCTCGTCATTGGTGTTGACATAGGTGGTGCGGAAATTGATGACAATATCCACGACAAACATAATGTCTACGATGAGATCCACCACGGTGAGTGGACTGCAGGTGTAGCCACAGGCCCCACGCTGTGACTGGTCCTGGTTGCTGAGCAGGAAGGCGGCCGAGTAGGGCGTAAAGACAGCCGTGTAGATGACGAGCAGCAGGATGAGCCAGTCCCACACGGCCTTGAAGGGGCTGTAGTGCAGGATGGTCCCACGGTGGATGCGCGGCGCCTGCAGCTTGTACTCTGGCAGCACGTCTGCACCCAGGGACAGGACCTGGGGGTGGGGCATGGGTGGTCAGTGGGGGATGGCCACTACTGCTGACACAGGTCTAGGGCGGGTGAGGCCTAGGAAGGGATCGGTGGGACAGGGTGAGGACAAGGCTGTGAAGGGCAGAAGGGAAGAGGGAAGGATGGATGGGGGGATGTATGTGGAGGTAAGTTCCTAAGGGAGGAAGTGCCGAGAGAGGAAGTGGGGTACAGGAGGAAGGGTGCAGCTCTGTCCCATGGTGATCACAGGTTTGAAGCTTATAAGCTCTCACAGAAACAGGCCCTCCTGGAGTGGGTGAAGACAGGGCAGGAGAAGGCCAGGCCTGGGGTCATCTGTGGACATGTTCCAGAGAAGAGCCCAGATTGAGGGAGTAGCTAGGTGGGCCAATCCTCTCTGATAGGCTTGGGAGGCCCCCTGTGGTTGGGGTTCCTGATGGGGACAGTTCATCCCCAAAATAGCCTCCTTATTCCTGAGGACCCTGGGGAAGCTGGACTAGTGAGGGTCCTCCTTGGGTCAACTCTCAGAACCTTCTACGGAAAGAGTCAAATTTGGGGTTGTGGTAGCCGATCTGGATGCTTGACAGGTCCTGGGCACCAAGGGGCCCCCCCGCTTCTTCACACATGTCAAATGCGGTTTGTGAATCATTACATTCAGCTGAGCCCCTCCCCTTTGTCCCTCCCACCCCTGCCTCCAAGATTATGGCCAACACAGGACCACTAGGGCCCAGCGCAACATGCTAGGCTTTGTCCAGCTGCCAACAGGAGAAATAGCTGGGGCATTAGGAAAGGCATGGGTTTTGAGACCAGGGTTCCCAGGTTGCATCCCAGATCTGATATTTGCTATATGCATGCCTTGAGAAAAGTTTTATAACCTCTGTGAGTCTCAGTTACCTCGTCTGCAAAATGGGACAACAAAGGGCAACAGACTTCATGCGGTTGTTGTGACTGAACTATTTGCATCTAGATGGCACATGCTACTCTACACGGTAATTCCTCCTCCAGCCTCCTGCTCCCTTATCCTGGGTCAGACCCTGCTCCAACAAGGATAGAGCCTGAGGGGTGTCCCACTGATCCCCTCTGCATCAGATGGGGTCTGGTGGACGGTTCTGATAAGAAAATCTGCAACGTAAGGTTGTGACTTTGCAAACCAGATCAATGAACAGATGGGATCACATCAAAGGGCTGGTTTCAACCAGAGTGTCCCTGATCTGACATCCAAACTCTTGGCAGGAATCACAGCGTCCCCACACTGCAATGACCTCCTGCTTAGCCTTCAGGCCTCGGATCATCCTTCACCTCTCCAGGAAGCTCCCTCTGACTGTATATCAACCAGGACCCTCTTTTTCGATTTTCTCCCTGCCCCTGGGTATACCCCTGACCTCATTGTCCACTGCACTATAAGCTTGGTGAGCCTCAATTTCCTTGCCAGGCCACTCATCCCTGTGTGCCCAGCACATGGACTTCTGACTGCAGCAAACTGAAAGGGCACTGAACGTTGAACTCTGATCCAAAGCAGCTGTGCCCTCGTGCCCATGGCATCAGAGCTGCTCCCCCTCCTTCCCGGGGCTGCTCAGGACCCACCAAGATGAAACACCAAGCATATGTCACTGCCAGGACCTCCCCTAGCCCTGTCTGTGGGGAAGTGGTGGCGGGGGGTGGTTTCCAAGTCTGCTGAGAGGAGAGTGCCGGGTTCCTCAGCTCCTCACGGCCCACAGACAGGGAAGCCATCTCCCTGCCACACTGACTCCGTTGTCTCCCACTGCCTCCAAGGCCAGCATGAGAACCCTTCGATGGCAAAGTCCACCCTGCCCAGTGTCACCCAGAGCTGCAGTGCCATCAGGATATAGGGGCTCCAGTGTGAAATCATTCTGGGCCCTCTAGGCCCTTTGAGTTCTGGAGAAGGCCAACGTGACTTCCCTGTTCTGGCCAGGCCAGCATTCTCCTCTGAGCTGTCTGGCACTTCCCCCCTAGTTAGGACCCACATGGGGGTGGGGTAGTGAAGTCAAAAGGGACTGGGGTGGAGCAAGACAGGAACAGGCAGGTTAGGTGGGAGCAGGTACCATGGGTCCCAGCCAGGCCTGTCAGTCTTCAAGGTCAATTGTCCAATCTAACAGCCCCCTATGATGGCAGCCACTACCAGCAGCACCAACCTAAGAGGCCCTGGAGTGAGCAGCCGGGGGGCAGGGGGGACTTCCCAGGGTCAGGCCATCGGGCCACTCTGCCTGACCTCAAAGGGCTTCAGATGAAAAGGGGCAGGGAGGAAAAGAGCTGCTCCCCAGCCCCCCATGAAGGGACAGCCCCAGGGAAGCTGGGAGCAGGCTCCTCCCACGCTCTGCACCCCCTTGCTCAGCCCTGGCCTAGGCCCCTCTCCATGGCCTACAGCTTCGTCTGCCTCCTTTATGTCAAGTGGGTCTCAGGGACCATTTAATCCAACTCTCTCCTCCAGATGAGAGCCCTTAGGGCCAGAAGTAGGGGGAAATCTCTTGCCCAAGGTGACACAGAGATTCAACGCCAGCATCCTGGTCACTGGAGCCTCGGGCAGGGCTCTTTGCATTTCCCTCTGGAATTGTCAGGCCATGAAGCCCCATGAGAAGGGACAGTGGGTTCAGCTGAAACAGAGGACCCAGGAAAGTTTGGCTTGGGCTGGCCAAGGAGGGACTGTAAGGGGAAAGGGGTGCCAGCCCCACCCCACCTCTCGGTGACACAGAGATTCAACGCCAGCACCCTGGTCACTGGAGCCTCGGGCAGGGCTCTTTGCATTTCCCTCTGGAATTGTCAGGCCATCAAGCCCCATGAGAAGGGACAGTGGGTTCAGCTGAAACAGAGGACCCAGGAAAGTCTGGCTTGGGCTGGCCAAGGAGGGACTGTAAGGGGAAAGGGGTGCCAGCCCCACCCCACCTCTGCCCGGCATGCAGGAGGATCCTGTGTGTGTGTTGGGGTGGGGGGTGGCTGTCATCTCCAAGACAAGGGGCAGGATCAGGACTGGGGGCTTGCCAACATCCCTTTTCCTTCTCCTTTCTGTGTGGCCCTGACACATCCCCTCTTAGCATCTCCTTCCCTGAGCCTTGGGCAGGCCCCATGGTAGAGCAGGCCCCCATAGTGGCCTGTGTCCTCCCAACCCTCCAGGCCTCCCAGGCCTAGGAGGTGGCACTACTCACAGGCCCTGCTAACCCTGAACTCTCCTGGCTCCAGGAGCTGGTCATCAGGGCCATGGCCTGAGGGCAGGTCTTTAGGTCTGAAGAATCAGACTCAGCAGGATAGGAGGCCTGGGGCTCCCACCAGACACTAGGGAGCTGGACAAGCAGGATCTCTCTGTTGGTCAAAGCCTCGGAAGAGTCCAGGTGTAGGGCCTGGGAGGGGACCCTGGAGGCCTGGCACAGCCCTGCCCACCCTGTCGTGCAGGCCCGCACCTGGGTGACCTTCTCAGTGACGTTCTGTGTTCGCTCCACCACCTTGTGGGGTGCGATGATCTCAATCTCCGTGGAGGAGCTCGAGCGGTGCTTCTCCAGGTTGAACTCCACGAAGTTGAGCGTGAACTGCGGGATCTGGCTGATGGTCCTGTACTTGCCCCTGCCCGTGCCAGGCCCCTGTCCACCCGGCCTGCCGTGAGAGCCCTCTGAAACCAGGGCCAGGGTCAGAGCAGCCAGGGCAGAAGCCCAGCTGCTCCACCTGTTACCCCCACCTCACCCCTCCCACCGCCACCTGCATCCGCCTCACCAGAGCCCAGGAAGCTCTGGGACAGCAGGCGCTGGGACAGGCTGCGGCTGCTCCTCTTGGCCAGGAGCTGGGCCAGGTCCTCGAAGTTGAGGATAAACATGATGACAGCTCCATCCTCGTTCTTCACGGGCACCACGTCCACCAGGCAGCGGAGGCTGGAGGCTGCAAACACCATTAGTGGGGATGGGGGGGGGTCCCTGAAGGGGTCCCCTCCTTCAGTGACCAGGCATGGGAGGGGCCTGGGTGAAAGTCAAGTTAAGGGCAGCCACTGGGTGAAGAGGCCTGCACAGTGACCAGAGCTATTGGGCAGAGGGTGGGCGAGGCTGCCCAGCAGGTGCCCACCCACAGGGCAGAGGTGGGGAGAGCAGCTAAGCTGCTCATTAGGAGATAATGTAACATCAGACCCAAGTCCACGCTTGGCCCTCAGCTCAGAGCTTAGCCTCGAGGTTTGCTTCTGCTGTAATTAAAGCCGAGCAGATGGGGGTGGATTAAACGGGGAGGTGAGATCGGACATTGTACCCCCGTGTAGCTCTGGCTGGCCCCAGGCTCAGCTCCCATATTTCCATCTCACAAAGATACCCTGTGCCCCAGATGCTGGAAGGAACTCATTGAGAACACACTCGGTGCTGGGCACTGAGCCAGGTGGCACATCAGGCCTTAGGAGGTCCTTAGGGGGCAGGCGTAGACCCCTCTTCTGCAGATAAGAGACTGGGGTTCTGAGAAACTGACTTACTGGGGCTGGGAGGGGATGGAGGCAGGGACCCCTGGGCTCTCAGCACATTACAGCTTGGAAAAGGGAAGGGACTTGTCTGGGAGGAGGGTACTGGAGTGAGGGCCAGGTTGCTGCTCTGGATCTGGGAGGAGTTCGGGGTCCCAAGGCAGAGGCTAGAACCAGGAACAGGCAAGACAATGGCCTGGGGGCCAGAGAAGGAGGGAGAGGGCTACGTGCCGGCAAGCCAGTCCCCTCCTGCCACTCTCTCCGCTCTTCTGGGCAGCCCAGACCCAGCTGTTAGCCCCACCATGGCACTCAGGCTACAGTCTCTGCCCCACTCTCTCTGCTTCAGGGTCTCACCATAGGCCCCACTGGTGGATGGAACAGTACCAGCTAAAATGCTGCATACCCATAGAGCCCAGCCTGTGGGCATGTTCCCTGAGAGCCTCCTGACCATGGGAATCCTATGTCCCTCAACTTGAATTGCTAGTAAGGGGAAAGGGATCCTAAGGGACAGGGGCCTCAGGAGACCATGCAAAACAGAAGGCAGAGCCGCATGCACTGAGGGTTTGGGGCTCCGGTTTGTTGATTGAGTGAATGAAAGCACGTGTGTAAACGTGAGCAGACACAGGCAGCAGGGCTGGTGGGGGTATTGCTACTTTGAAGACCACCAAAATCACTCTTCTCCAGACTTCCTATTTGTGCTCACCTCCCCTGGCCCCTCCTCACAGCCATCAGAGCTGGGGTGCAGGTGAGCCGTCCGCATCCTCCCTTCCACTTTCCTCCTGGGGCAGGAGTCTCTCGGATCAGATTTCTGACTCCCAGACACCAGGCAGCCATCTGCCAGCTGCTGCCCAAGCTCAGGGGAGACATCTACACCAGGAGAGGCTGTCTGCTGGCCTGGCTTGACCCACTCCTGGACTTCCAGTTCTATAAGCCCCGACTCCCAGGCCAGAGCTTGTCATTCTTGTCAGCCTGCGACATGGTGAGACTTGGACACTAGGACCTAGCCACGAAGCCTCCTTGGCCAGCAATCTAGGACACTGCCCCCAAAGCCAGACTATATCCTCAAACTCTCTGGCACTGCAAAGATCTGGCCTGTCAGGGGGCAGAGCTGGGCACAGGGGCAGGGCCTCCAGACTCTCCAGGCTGCAGGGGGCAGCCAAGACCCATCCTTAAAGTGGCTGCACCCACCAATTGATACTATTGGAAAATTGATGCAGTTGGAAAACTGTGGCTGGGAATGGACAAGACCAGCCCATCATAGCACTAAGGGCATGGAGAGGATTGGCGCCTGACCCTCATGCCCCACCTTCATGCTTGTTGCCTGTGGGGTACGCAGACAGGAGGCTGTGAGAATTTGAGCGTCCAGAGCATTCCCTCTCCTGCCCCAGGCTGTTCTTGCTTACTCCGGCTCAGAGCCCACAAGTAACTCTGCCTGGGTGACAAGAGGAGGTGAATGCATTGCCCTAGGTTGTGCCTAGGAGTGGCGGTGTTCTATGCTCTTGCCCTGTCCCTGGAGGAAGAGTCACAGTCTCTGTCTGTTTCTCCCTTCCAGGGCTCCTCCTGCCACCCACCTCTGACCAAGGGCAGCAGGTTTGTCTGGTCCCTGGGAGGCCCACTTCTCTCTGCTCTTCTCTCTCAAATGTGTGTGTTCTTCCCTCAGGTGCTCGTCCTCACACCCCGTCCCCACTCTGGCCCTAGTCCGAGAAAAAAAAAAGAAAAGAAAAGAAAAGGGGGGCCGGCCCGGTGGCGCACTGCTACAGTGCGCCGCTTGGGAGCGCGGCGGCGCTCCCGCCAAGGGTTCGGATCCCACGTACAGACCGGTTCCCACTCACTGGCTGAGCAAGGTGTGGGCGCGACACCGAGGGTTGCGATCCCGTTGCCGGTCCCGGTCCGGTACGGGTGCGACACTGAGGGTTGCGATCCGTTGCCGGACACGAAAAAAGACAAAAAAAAAGACAAAAAAAAAAACAAAAAAGCCCCGGCAGGACTGTAAGAGGTATGTGGCTATGATAAAGAAGGGATCGTGTGGTCAGAGTGGACCATAAGATGAAAAGTTATCTGAGCGTGACATCCTTCCCTTAAGGTAATGCAGGCCAGGAAGCTTCTTTTTCTGGTATCAGGCCAATTCCAGGAAGGTCCAGGTGGTCAAAGACTTGAGCAACAGGACAGGGAAGAGCCAAGGGCAGGATGGGAGCAGACTGGGATTTATAGGGCGCCAGGTGTGTGAGTTAGTTCCCATTTTCACCCAGAGCCAGCTTCCTAGAGACCAGGGTCACTTCTGATAGCTGAAGGACCCCAGCAGGGTTCTGAAGATTTGAGTTCTGATCTAAGGGGGCCAAGGCCTGGCCTTGACCTCCGCCCCTTGCAGGGTGCTGAGGGGCCGCAACATCCTTAATCTGACATCCCTAGGAGTCTGGGATCAGCCCTCACCCCTCTGAGGCCCCGGTAGAGCTCTGTGGTCAAGGAGAGGGACAGAAAGGACCTGTTGCTTCCCCTCTCATCTCCTCCTGTCCCATCCTGTTCCCCCAGGACCCTTCTCACTCCCCTGACTGTCACCTCCTCCATGCAATGATGTGAGGTGAGGTCACAGCTTTTAAAAATATTCTGACTTCATTAACCCTGTGAGTACTGCTAAACTAATCCGGATTCTTCCCAGTCCCCTAATAGCTACCCCTGCCGGCTCTGCTTCCCACCTGCTACTCACTCAGGTGGCAGCAGCAAACAGCCAGGACCTGCCCAAGAAGCCCCCCAGAAGCCTGTAGACACACACATAGGCATGCACACACACACACACATGCTCATATTCACATTCATGCATGTTCTGCACACACCCCAAGCCCCTGGAACTTGGGCTCTCAGTACCCCTCAGTCCCAGTCCAAAAGCACCTGCCATTTATCTGCACTCAGGTGGCCCTCATGCCTGCCTTCCCTGGAGGCTTCCCTCTTTTGGGGACTTTCTTCCCCAAAGGTCCTGCCTCTAAGCATAGAGGGAGTTGGGGTCCTTTCTCCCCTGTGGGATTGCTCAGAACACACATCTCTGAAGGGGGAATCCAGAAACTTGAGCTCAAGACCAGTTTGGACCTGAGGAGTGGGATCTTGGGCAAGTCTCTTCCATGTCCTTGAAACGAAGGGATTTATCTAAGCCAGTGGTTCCTCAACTTGGCAGAACATCAGACTGCCAGGGAGATTTTTTTCCAAATACATCTGCTTGGCCTCATCTCACACTTTCTGAGTCAGCCTCTCTCTAGGGCAGGTGTGTTTTGGAAAACACGCCCCAAGGAATTCTGATGCAGAACCAGGTTGGGAGGCCATTGATCCAGGAGATTTCCAAGGGACTTTCAGGCTCTGATCCTAGTTCCTACTCACTCCCCATACTCCATGTCCAGTGGGGACCCCACAGTGCTGAGGAGAGGATCCCAAAGGGCTGCTGAATTCTTTGTCCTCGGCCCCTGACCTATGCTTCTGTTCTGCTTGCAGTAAGCTCAGGCTGGCACTAACAACCGAAACTCCATCTGGATAAGCCTCCTGGTCTGGGCACATTCCAGGCCCCATCTCCCCAAAGAGCTGGGACTGGATGAGCCAGGCCCACCCCTCTTTCCCAGCCAGCAGTCCCTATGCCTTGCCTGGCCACAGAGGCCGTGAGAGGGTGACTCCTCCCCTAATCCCCAGAGCAGACGGAGATGAGGGAAGGTTAATTTCCGTCCCAGCTGCCTGACAGCTGGGGCTGACAGTGACAGAGTGGATAGCCAAGAGACCGGGGACATGGGGGAGGGATGGTGGAGCAGGAGGCTCTGCCCCAGGCCAGGACGAGTAGGTGGCACAGCCTGGTCCCTCACCTCTGAAAAGGACCTCAGAAGGCATCACATACAATGCCCATTGCTGCTTCCTCCTACAGATGAGGAAACTGAGGCCCAAAGAGCAGACAGGTTATGTCCAGGCCCTTTGTTCCCTGGTTCCCTTAATGCCCTCCCCAAGGCCACTCTAGCTGGACAAGCCACTCATGACTGCCCAACAGAACCTCTGGCCTGAGCACGCCTCACCATCCTTGCGGTAGTAGAGGATGTCCACCTTGCACTCCTCGGCCCCCAGCAAGGCCTGTGCCAGGCGGGACATGGCACTGCTCGGGGTGTTGGGGCCTGTGAGGAAGTCGCAGGTGCACGGTCGCTGCATCACCTCCACTCGGGAGTAGCCGAAGAGTTCGCAGAAGCCGTCGTTGCAGTAAATGATGGCGCAGTTCTCCATCTGAGCATTGGCGATCAGGAACTTACGACCTGGGGTGAGAGGTGGGAGGAGGGAAGAGGGAAGACCATGGCAGCCAGGACTGGGCAATGGAGAGAAAGATAGTAGAGACTCTTGGGGCAGTGAGGGAGGTTTAGATGCAGGAACAGGGACATGACCAGATGGGGTCAGGCCTGGGAGAGCTCCTGGGAAGACTGGGGTGGCCAGGGCCAGGAGGTGAAAAGAGCGAGTCCAGGAAACCTCCGGAGGAAGGCAGGGAATGGGGGCTGGGGAGCAGGGCAGCGACTAGAAGGGAGGTCAGGGCTTGGGTCGCCTAGAAAACAGCTCTGTGGGGAGGAGGAAGAGGCTGCTTTTTGCCCCTCCTGCTCCAGAAGCGAAGACATTTGAGGCAAGAGGGGCGCTGGAGGAGAACATCATCAGGGACATCAAAGCAAAGGATTTTGCCTTCAGCATCCGGCTTCCCCCTCCCCGCCCATGCCCCATTAGAAGTTAGTAAAGGGTCCAGCCCCTCCTGCCACCGAACCGGGACTCCAGATTGTCCCCTGCTCCAACACAAACACTCACTCTGGCCCTCGAACTTGCGGATGATGGTGTCCAGGTAAGTGTTTTGGGGCGCGACGTGGCCCCTGCGGACTGGCATCTTTCAGCGGCGGACCCTGCCCGGAGCCACCAGCGCCCCCGGCTCACTGCGTCTCCTCCTGTCCTCGGGCTCAGCGGCGTCGGGCTCCGGGTGGGCGCCGCCCCCGGGGAGGGCGGCCG